CCTAGGTTCGAATCTCTCAAGGTAAGTGTGTATAACACACGTCGAACGACGAAATGTCGAGGTTCAGTCATACTTCAGCATGATAATAGTGTGCATGTTTTACAAGAACATAATCATCCAAGATCACCATTTGTTAAAGAACAAATTGAAATGAAAGAAGAAATGCTAAAGCTTTCTCGCGAGACTTCTACTGGATTAAAAGAAATCTTTGATACAATGTCCAGAAGATAAAATTATTTGATATAACATAACTTGAAAAATATTTAATGAAAAAATATTTTATTATAGTATTTTGAAAAACTCTCGACATCATCTATTAGATTCTGGTATAAAAAACGAGATGTCCTATTTACAAAAAATCAATGTAACCTTGACCGTGACGCTATCCAAGATCAAACCGATGTGATCAATAAATAGATTTTTTGAACTCTACAACTTTTGTTTGGAACATTTTTGTCATGAATACTTAGTTTCCGAAATATTAAGAGGTTTCCACACTTTTGACAGACTCTGTATACAATACATGTGGTATATATATTAATTTTATGAGGGTATCCCATTTTAATTTCTCCAGACAAATATCTCGAAAAATATCGAAAATATAGAAAAATATTTTAGATAAAAGTTGCATGATTGGAGAGGGCCACATGATTAAAATATAGATTTGACCTTTTCAAGGCCAGGTCAATATGATCGATATTTTGTCAAATGGAACCCCCATTTTTAATTTTTAATATTTTTATAGCTTACCTCGAGAGTTTTTCAAAACACTACAATTACATATTTTTCCATTAAGTACTTTTCGAGTTATGAAGCTTAAAATATTTACAATATTGTTTGCACCAACATTACCCTAAGTGTCCGACCGACGACTAAAACTTCTTGAATGTTATTTAGGATTATGACTTGAATAAGATTGATCAAGATCAAGGCTGTTGAAATATATTTATTATTCTTGATCACTTAAATTTTTACAATTCGCGAACTTCTATAAGCACCGACGGTCTTTAGTAGTATCTCATCCACGACAGCCTTTTAGGACGATATTCATAGTTCTTATTTTAAGATCGTCTTATGTAATGAGCTGTGATGAACTGGGCCGGGATTCTCTAAACGTTTTATCGACAATTGTCGCTATTGTTAACTAGCGAGAACCAATGAGAACCACGCTTTCTTTCAGGATTGTCTCGCCATTGGCTGTCGCTAGTTAACCATAGCGATAATTGTCGATAAAACGTTTATATCGAATTCGGCAGACTGCACTAGTGCGCACTAAGTCTGGATCCTCATACGGGCAACAGCGCTTTGACACAGAACGCTGTATGAGGATCTAGGCTAAGTGCTAACATTTTAGTGCTGCACATTCGGATTGAGCGCACTGTATTAGTACGCTCAGATTGTAATCGCCAAATGAAAATGACTCAGTGTAGTGCTGAATTTATATTCGGATTATCCGAATGAACTGAACGAGTTCAAAGAATAGTGTATTGACGTTTCTGACAATGCAGTTTAATATAGCACCAAAATGGTTATGTACTCGCACTGTGTCAGAGCTAGGGATGTCAATATCGAGCAAAAATATCGACTATTAATATATTCAGATATAAAACTATATTCATTCCGAATGAATAGAGATTATATTGAATATATTGCACAGCGAATAGATTAAAAAAATCTCAATTTTTTTAAAACTTACGAACGAAGATCTGTGATATTTAATCATTTGATGTAGAGAAGGCTCCGTTTATTTATAGTCCCAATTAATATTATAAACAATAAATATAAATAACTTCTTTTTTTACGTCTCAATAACTAATTACTAGCCCTTAAATATTAACTCAAAAATGTAAAATAAAAACAAAAGTTAGGAAATATAATTGGTAGAAAATGTATTTAACGATCATTTTTTTTATAAACTCGATACACCTTACTGAGCGCTCTTGTATCTAATTGACATATTTCGTTGGATCTAAAAGTACAGACCAACCAAACAAATGCAAGAACTTACTGAGCGCTCAGTCAGGCTCAGCGTAATACCGACCTACCGACTACTGAATGCACTCAAAACTCCTACAAGTATTCATAAAAATGGAGAGTGAATATGAATAATAAAAAAATGTCTAGTCAATATCTTATTCATAATTTTTTATTTGATTTTTTATTTTTATTTTTTATTTTTATATTGAGCAGCAAAAAATATCGAATATTCGATATTATCGAATAACGATAAACATCCCTAGTCAGAGCAGCACCAAAACCGAGTCAGTGCATGTGTGCCGAACTCGCTATTAAGTGAACCGCTTCCGTGAATGAATTATTCCCCTCTATGTTCCTAGTTCATCGTTTTTATTGTATGTTTGTATATTTTTTAACAAAATTCGGTTCCCAATTTTTTATATTTATGACATGTAATTTTTTTTCTAGCAATCCGAATGTAGCGCAGTATTTGAGTTTTCCGTCTATAAAATGTAGCATGCATCGTGAACGTATAAAAAGCCGACCACCCATACCTGATACATTGACATCATTACGTAACATTTTGGAACACTGTGACATAATAAAAAATGTATATAAGGGAAGCTTAATTACAGATAATGAAAAAACTGCAATAATTTTATCCAGCAATTCTTTACTAGAAGCTTTATCGTCCGCTACTGAAATCTATGTCGATGGAACATTTTCTGTAAGTATGCAACTTTTACTTATTAACCGTGGATTAATACAAACAATATAATAATTAAACGGCTTCATCCACGTACACAGGCTGAGTTTTGTACAGGATCATACATTAATCCATATTTATTATAATATATAAAACCAAACGTTTCGGTCTGTCATCAGACCATTTTCAATAGTATTACATAGAATTGTTAAAAATTTCTCAATAATTTTGAATATTTACAGATCGAAATCATTCTCGTTGTCATTATATATATCGCTGTCCAATAATTAAATTATAATTTTCGAAATATCATATATAACATTCGTCAACTGCATAAAACCATGGAAAGCATAGTATGTCCTATCTGTTAAAATAATTTTCATCCTCTGCACTCCATGAAAACAAGTCTGCTCTAACTATTAACGAATTATAAGTTCAAAATTACATTTACTTTTATAGTCTATTTTAACATAATATTATATAGCTACTTACATTATAAGTGAAGTTAATAATTATATTATCATTAGTGATAATCTTTTATCATCCCAATAAATCGACGCACCATTACCTGATACTGATAAATAATAATTTATAGTTATTAATATGAATCACTCAATTAATTAATTCCAAAAAACTTAGTAATACCTGCGTAGAATTATTAAAATGTATCACACGAAGTAATGCACACAGCACACTTTATCAAAGACATATTTTTCTTTCCTTTGTTCGTTTTAACGCTAATAACAGTTAATGTGAGGAAAGCTAGGACGAGCTGCGAGAAACTGTCTCGTATATTCTGACACAACGTATTTATATCGAAGGCTAAAGCGAACATTATATGAATTCAAAACAAATCAATATCATACAATGCCGAGCAAAGAAACTTATGCTTCTGGAAATTTTTGAGTGTCAATCTGCTTGTTTAAACCGTTTTCTTGTTTTTTGATAAAGATCATCTCTGATATTAGTCTTTTGAAAAGATATTGTTCTTTATCCATAATTTGTATATCATCCCAATTAAAATTGTGACCATTATTAATATGATGTTCTGCTAAGACGGAACTGCCATATTTTTTATTTTTTATATCTTGTTGATGTTCAACCATACGTGTGCCGATCTTCCTTTTAGTTTGACCAACATACGACACGTCACATTCTCTACAGTTTATCTTATAAACAACCCCTTTCTGTTCATTCGTCTTTAATTTGTCTTTACCTAATTTGATAATAGAATTTAAATTATTATGTGCTTTAAACGCAACTTTTTTATTCATTTTGTGAGCAATATGAAAAAACTTTTCTGAAATGTTGCGTATATATGGTACAATGAAATAATTACTTTTATTATTCATATTAGCATCATCCAATATTTTATTATTAATATATAAATTCTTCCTTTTTGCTAAAATTTTAATTCTATTATTTATCGTAGAAAAAATCACATTCAACGGATAACAAGTAGAACATCAACAAGTTCTATAATATTTTGTTCTTGGTAATCAGGATGAGCCAAAAAAATTATTCGGTCCAACAAACTTATTATAATACCTCTTTTTTGTTGGTCTGGATGAGATGATACAAAATTTAGATAACGACCGGAATTAGTCATTTTTTTGTAGTTATTAAATCTGATGCAACCATCTTTAATCATGACCTTGAGATCTAAAAAACTTACAGAATCATTCGAACCTTTATCAAGAGTAAAATTAATGCGATTGTGATAACTATTAAAGAGTTCCAAAACTGTTTCAATTTTATCGAAAGGCAAGGCAAGCAAAATGTCATCTACATATCTGCAATAAATGGGTACAGGAATATTTAAACGACTTAAAATGTCTGTCTCGAGATCTTGTATTACGAGATCAACCAAGATTGGAGAGAGCGGTGAGCCCATTGGCAATCCAAAAACTTAGTTTATAAAAAAGGTTATCAAATTTAAAAAATGTTGAATTGAATATCAAGGAAATTGCACTCATATTCCATGGTTTTATGCTGTTGACGAATGTTATATATGATATTTCGAAAATTATAATTTAATTATTAGATAGCGATATATATAATGACAACGAGAATGATTTCGATCTGTAAATATTCAAAATTATTGAGAAATTTTTAACAATTCTATGTAATACTATTGAAAATGGTCTGATGACAGACCGAAACGTTTGGTTTTATATATTATAATAAATATACTTTTGTTGATTTCTTTAATATAAGAGGATAATTTATAAAGAGGACAGTCACAATGCAACGTACAATGATACGTAAAGGATTGCCAATTTTATGGATTTTGGGCACACCGTAACAATGCAACTTTTCCCTATATAATACTTTAACAAAAAATTATAACAATATTTACAGTATAGCAAACAAATCATAATAATGGCAAAATATTTTAGCACATAATTTTAAATTGGATTATGAAAATAATTATTGTATGTTGTACTTTTTTAAGGTTCTCCCACGTATGCCTCATATGGCACAACTCTATTCTGTACATATACGATATATGAATACAGTAAGATATTTGTTTAATTAAAATTTAATTTATTAAAATTTTTAAAACATACAAATAAAAATAATTTTTCCAGGGCATTGGAACATTATTTATATTATGTGATGTACGTACAACTACTATGTATGATGCTTTATGGGACAAAATTATACAGATGGTACCACAACTTAAAGAAAACGTTAAGTTTATAATGAGCAATTTTGAAATGGCTGCAGTAAAATCGCTTAGTACAAAATTTCCCAGAGTAAAGTTAACTGGATGTTGGTTCCATTTCAATCAGGTATATGAAATAATTATTGTACCTTACAAAGATAGCAATGTTAAATATGTTAAAAACATAAATACGTTAATTATATTGCTCAAGTTAATCAACCAATTTTCGTTAATATTACATAATGAATATGTTTGGTTAAATTCAGTTGGACTAATGTTAATTATGTGCTTGTCATACTTAATGTTATTGTTAATTGTACGTGTTATTATACGTGTTGGAATTTAACGAACTATTATCTAGACCTTTATTTTTATCACTATTATCCAAGGCAATCTTATGTATTTTTGAAGGTTTAAATTCTGTAAGTGTATTAGTTGCTTCTGACCAAAGTAATATAATGGCGAAAACTACGCCTTTCAAATGCTCCAAAAACTATACTTTCCATGACAATGACATTGCCTTTGTTACGAGCCAGATATGTTTCAAGAAGCTATGTCTATTATACAAATCGAAGCTGATATCCTTTTTTGCGAATATCCAGATATTTTACAATTTACATCCTATCTGAGGCGTACCTGGTCAAATATGGCATCAAGAATTAGTACCTATGATTGTCCTATACGTACTAACAACATAGTAGAAAGTTTTCATAATATTGCGGCACAAAAGCTCGGCACGAAAAATATTAATATTTGGACGTTTCTAGGTAATGTTTATTTTTAGTTAATATTTAAATTAACATATTTTTGTTGATTATATATTATAAATATTTACTAACTTTCTCTCTCTCTCTCTCTCTCTCTCTATGGTAAATGTTCATTATTATTACAAAAATGATCTCTTAATTACTTTTTATGGTTTATTAACACTTCTTCAAGTTACTTTATATATCTATTTTAATTTTAATTTTCCTTTTTCTAGAAAAATTAGCAGATTTGATTACTGATCAAGAACTGGATTTTCGTCGTTTAAGAAATAATGTTAGACCTCGACGAAACCATACACGGACAAATAGAGAACGCGATATTAAAATTATTAATGCATAAAGAGATCTGATTAATAAAAGGTAATATTTTTTATTTGTGTCCTTTTTAATTTTAATTAAATTTAATTTCAGATAATCTGGAAATAAAAAATTCGAACAGATTAGTTTATATATGAATTAATTTAGCCTTTAATGATTTTCCGAAAAATTGAATGATGACAAAATTCAAATTTTGATATTTTATACAAAAATCAGAAATTTTTTGTCCATAAAAAAGTACAAATTTAAAAAATCTTTCAATTAAAGACTAAATTTAATCTAAAAATAAATTTCAAATTGATCGGTGCAGTCGATGTAGTTTCTGAAATATTTTGATCACTATTTTCAAATCGTAGTTTTGATAAAAATGCATTGAAAGTTTCAAGTACAGTTTATATTAAATTACAAAATTCATTTTCAGCTTACAGTTATCTTTCCCCTTTCTATATAGATCCTATACAAAATCTTTTGCCGAAGTTAGCCTCTAAAACATCAACTTAAAGCGTCAACTTAAAATATTAACTTGCCAATGATATATTCTTCCCTTCCGGGTGCTCTCTTGTGCGTCAAATATTTGTATGCGCTCAGTGACTTTTGCCTATATATTGATGAACATTTCGACCGTTGCTTATACACTTACCTGTGTATATTTTAGAATTACTATTATCAATGTAGTTTATATATTTTAAATTGTAATTCTTCTTTGAATGCTGGAACATTTACGATCATTTCTGTTTCTATTTTACCCAACTTTATATGATTTATACGATAGAAATATATAAATGCTGTAAGAACATGTTTTTCAAAATTTCTAACTGCCTATAACCCTTTAATACGAGTATAATATATATGGTACGAATACAAACATTATATTGTGATACTTTAATTGTTTTAAGGTTGTCAGTAGAAGAATTTTTATTGATGTTTACTAAAACTATTAATATCGAAGGAATGGAACAAACAATATCATTTGAAGGTAAATTTATTAAATTGCTACATATAAATTATACGATTAAATGTTTATACGATTCCATATTTTTCGTTGAAGCATATATACTAGAATCAAATGCATAAAAAATTGTAATAATAGGTTTATTTAAAAAATGTATTTCTTTTCTCAGATGCTCAATCAAGTGATGTTTTACAACCTGCAGATATAGAGTTGTTCACAGAAATATTACACGAGACATACCAAATAGGTGAATATGTTACTGTTTTATTCTCTTTGTGTTTATGAAATTACTTATTAAATGTATTAATTCTTTACAATTTCCAAGCTGTAGTGCACAAATTGATATACATAAAGATGTATGTTTATTAAAGACATGTTAAACCGTAAAATTCTCAATACATTTTATTGTTGTTAAATAAAATATGTACTTTATAATACGCGAAATATTTGCATTTTACTTTTACACTCAGATTCAATAAGTGTACAATGACTTTAATATGCACCCAATGTGCACTAATGCAGCCAAGCGAAAACGGTATTAGTCTCTTTAATTAAACTCGAAGACTTAACTTGTTAATTCTATTAAAATTTGTTATACCATAATATTTAAAAAATTCTATATTAATATATTATAGTAAATGATTAATATTTTTATAATACAAATTTCGAGATTTAAAACAGCTATTAATTTTAAAAAGTTTAGCTTTAAATTATTTAATTTTATTTATTTTATAAGTTAATTTACATCTTTTATTTCAGAAAAGCAAACTAACATTAGACGCAGAAGATCTCGACACGTTAATACAAATTTATCTAGTCGAATAGAAGAAAGACATATATCTAGAAGAGATACAGGTAACAAAAATTTTGTAATGTTTGCACGTAATGCGCACGTCTTTAAAATTTTGTCAGTATTAATTAAATAAAAATATGTAAAAATAATCTTTCATTTCCAGAAGATATAGAAAATGATTTCGATGTACAGAGAATAACAGTAACGCCTGCAGTAATAGAAATGACACAAGATGGAGAAAATGATTCCGATGTACAGAGAATAATAGTAACGCCTGCAATAATAGAAATGACACAAGATGGAGAAAATTCTTTCAATACACAGGGAACACTTACATCTGAAATAATAGGAAATACACAAACAACGCAACATGAACCTCAATCAATAGCTGTCATTTTTAACTTGGAAACCGGAATCTCTCAAACGACGCAACATGAACCTCAATCAATAAATATTACTTCTAATTTCGAAACAGGAATCTCGCAAATGATACAACATGAATCTCAAATAATAAATGATACTTCTGATTCAGAAACTTTATCCTTAAATACGCAAGGTAAATAATATTACAAGGATAATAGAAAGTAATACTAAATAGCGATTCAAATTGCTTCAAAATATAAAATTCAAGTTATTCTCTCATACAATTGTTTTGTAGACAATATTATCTTTCTTTTTCTTTTCTACCTTTTATAAATCCACCCAGGTAAGGTTTGCCGACTCTCACCCGATGTTGAACGTTGGGCCGACGTTGGCGAATTCACGGAAAACCGACAGTC